GATCCTCGTCTTTATCTTCTTCCACATTTTGAAAACGCAGGTAAAACGACGCCCTGTCCATCTCTAATTGTATTAACGAATCTTCTAATTCCTTATTTTGCATCGTCAGTGTCTGGTCTACCATGTCCAGCTTCTTCTCATTTAGTTCTATTTTTTGCTCCGCCTTCTGGATTCTTTGTTCATTGTTAGAAATTGAGACTTGGATCTCATTCATCTTCTGGTCCAGTAGGTGGATATCTGTTTTCAGTTCGGTGTGATTGCTGGACATTTTTTCCTGCATGGCCATCATCGTTTCTTGAATTAATGTCAATGTTGACTGCACTGTTAATAATGTTGGTGTTGCTATGGCCTTATCCGTTTTTGGTAATCCTTCCATTGGCTTTTGGGTAGCCGGGGAGGTCATGGATATAGTGGGATTTGAAGGGGTCTTTTTTCCTGTTTTCAGAATTGTTGATGACATGCTCGTCATTTCTTTCAGGATTATTTTTTGTTCGTTGATTATTTTCTCGATATTTCTCCAAATTTTCATACACTAGTTGTCACCTCTTTTTTTTTTTTTTTTTTTTTTCTATGCTTCTTCAGGGTATGGAGAGAGATTAATTATCAATTAATGTCGAATTATCAATCTATATCTCTTTCAGACAGTACTCTTAAATATATTTTTCAATCAAAATCAATCTATCAATCTATATCTATATCACTTCCAATCAATATTTATGATCTATAATTAATTTGTAGTCACTTGATATAATAGCAAATAATTAATTGATAGGGGTTTGTTTCTATTTGTTAATAATTAATTAATTTATAGTTAATTCAAGTCTTAATAATTTAAGTCACTATAACGCACTAACTCCTAAATAGGTCTATAATCTATAACTAAAATTCTTATTTTTTAAATTACTATATAGCTATTTACCAATAGATAACTTAATATATATAAATATGGCAATTCTAATATAATAATATGTCAAATTAAATATATAGGAATAGTGTCAATACAAATATATATGAGTAAATATATGTATATGCGATTAAATAATTAATTAGATAAATATAAATCTAATGGACTCTATAAAAAAGTATCTTATATATAAGCAGGATCAGAACTTAATTACTATAAAGATTTACAGTTCTTATTGATAAAAATATTATTAAGCAAAGGATCAGAGTTGTTATAGAAAAAGGTTTCAGAGAGAAAGGGGGAAAAAGGGGGGAAAAAAGGGGGGGGAATAGAAAATGTCCAGATTTTAATTTAGGGCAGGCAAGGTTTTCCCAAACAAGTAATATTTTTCCTCGCTCAGCCACCAGTCTCCTCCAATCCTTTCTTCTTGCCGCGTTTACTTTGCCACTGTCAAAACTCTATGGTAAGTCTCGAAGCTAGATTGTCTCTATGTCTGTCCTTTTCAATTTGCTCTGTCAGGCTTCTTCGATGGCTGCACTTCCTGTTCTCAGGCACAGTTGGATAGAGTCCAATCTCCGACTTGATTAATCTTCTCTGCTATCCCCAGCAAACGAAACAAAAACGAGTTCTTCTGGGTTCTTTAGGTTTCCTTGCTCCCTATGCCCACCGATCCTCCTTTTGCGCAGGCGATTTAGCGTCCTCGATTTCTTACTCTCAGCGCCGGCTTGTCGAGCTCTGTAGTTTTTCAGGCTGTTCACCAAACTCCGTCGCCGCCTTTTTCCACTCGAGCCCTTCTCGCCCGACTCCGCTGACCCCTTCCTGATGTTCGGTCTCACGTATGCAGGGAGGACACGTTTTAATCCCGACACTGCAGCCTCCGATCTTTCTTGCTTCCCATCTAGTTGTCGGCTACCACAGCTTCAGGTCAGCCATTGAAAGGCTGACTTCACGCGCGTCAGTTTGACAGAGTTGCCCGGTTATGCGAGAAGTGTTTGCGCTTCACTTTCTCGCTCCCCCGGCTCTCTCTATTGTCCGCGGGGCTCTCCAGGTCCCGCGCCCCCGAAGGGATCCCCAAAACGCGGTGACAAAGGATGCTGAGGAGTGGAGATCACTCGCTCAGCACCATGTCGCTGCAGCTCGCCGACCGGAAGTCCGGCACAGTCGTGTGTCAGTCTTGTCTTGTCTAACTGGGACCCCTTCAGGTGGGTTGGGCTGTAGCACCTTCATCCATATTGATGAATGTTTCTGCAAGATGTTATATGTGGAAGATTGATCCATAGGGTTGAATGTTTTATTTACACAACTGGTTTTTTTCCAGCAGTAAAATATCTGAATCCTCAATAATTTTATAGCTAATAAATAACAAAAAAGGGGATTAAAAAAAACCCAAAGAGGGAAACTTGATGTTTGTTGACAATGTGTGATTGTTGAGTTAATAAATGCTAAAGGAAAAACCATTTATGTCCAAGGCATTTAAGAGACCACAAAGCTTATTATCTGCTTTACAGAATTAACTGTTTCTTTCTCCTATTCTCCTGTTGTAGTAGAATCAGGAAGTACTCCACCCCATCTATTTCCCTGATCTGAGTAAGACATACTAAACCATAGAATATCATGATTTATGCACTGCCATTATTCATGCAAGACACTTTTCAATAATTAATTAAACTTATGCTTATTTAATTGACCTAATTTTCTGAATTCACACAAAAGACTGGACCACAAACTAACCACATAGACTATGTTTGCCAAACCTACTGAACTAATATTATGGTTGGCTAATAGGTGGTTCAGATATCATACCAGAAGAGCCACTAAAGGAGGCAAAAATGTTTGTCTGCCTTCACATGTTGTGATAAGGCAGAAGCTACCTCACAGAACACTGTTACCACTGATTATTGAGTAAACCACAATTGGCTGGGTTTGAACAACATGTTAAACACACATTAAAATTATAAAAACAGTGGCTGGATTCCCACACTATACCACAAACTAACAGTCCACATGTTGACTTAGTATGTTGTGGGAACTCAGAGTCTATAGTCTGTAAACCATGATTTAATGCTTTCCATGAATCCAGACAACCCTAACCTTAACCCTTCTCTTATGTATTACTTAAAAGGAAGAACATGGTCGACTCATTTGGACAGTCATTTGTCTGAAATGGTATAGGGTCTCCTGTTTCAGCAGCGGGTTGGACTAGAAGACCTCTAAGGTCCCTTTCAACTCTATTATTCTGTAATTCTGACTCTACTCTATAAAAGCCAATAGTTAATGGAATGGGGGACATACATTTAAGGAATCCTAGATACTGTGAATGAAATGTCTCTGCTTGCAAAGAAAGAAAACCCAGAAATCTCTTGGTTAATTTTCCCCCCACTGTTCAACAAAAGCCATCTGGGTCAACTGGCTGGAAAAGATCTCTGTGCTTTTTTAAATGCCAGGGGAAAAACCTATAATACCACTGACTCAATGCAGAGAAACTTTCTAGGGTTGCCCTACTTGTCTTCCAATCTGCCATTAAACATCTCGCAAATCCTTTTTTCTCCACAAGCAATCCTCTTTCCATCAGTTCTCTCAGTCAGCCACAAACCTTTCCCTCAAAGAGGGCCATAACGTTTTCACAGCAAATGTACATTGTGGCCAACCGGTTGTCTCCCCCTTTCAGATTTACTCCTCTGGGTTTATCTGTTGCTGGTCGTTAGGGGCCACAGTGTCATCCCTCTTTCCCTCCATCCTAGGAGGTCTCTATGGCAACAGCTGCCATGGCAAATATTCAGGCCCTCCCTCACACGGACTCCTGCGCCCACTGCTAATTCATTTCAGCTCCTGCATTAGTCTGAGTGCTGCATAGCTATAAGGAGCCTTGTTTTTTCCCTGGTGGATTCAGAGGTACTTGGGAGGCAGAAAGAAGCTGAACCGAGGCACTCTAACTAAAGCATTAAACCAAGGAGTAAGAGGAAATCAATACAACTTTGCACGCTTCAGAGAGGATTTGGAAGAAGTCTTTGGACCGCACAAGATGAACGTAGCATCTTTCTGCTATTCATTAAACAAGCCTCGAAAAAAGGTGCATTTCCTTTAAAAATGTAGTAACATTAAATAGATTCCTGATGCAGTAGTGTGAGTAAATGCAAGCTTTTTTAAAGGATTTGGAGTTGTTCCAAATATATATATTGAACTGAGGAGAGTCCTAGGTGTTCAAATAGGAACCTTTGTTATTAGATGAAGAATGCACCAAAGACAAATTCCTTGTGTATCGAATCACACTTGGCCAATAAAGAATTCTAAATCTAATCTAAGAATACTGTGTGTATTAGATGAAGAATACTGTGTACACATATACACACACTTGCAGTATTCTTCATCTAATAGCAAAGATTCCTATTTGAACATTTAGGACTCTCCTAAGTTCATGCAATGTGTTTACTAATAATTCATTAGTATTGAACAAATCAGCATTTGTTCAATAACACAATTTTCTCGCTATGGAAGATAATCATAAATTTAGCACATGAGCTATGGTTGACTAGTTTGTACTTTAGTGGTTCTCTGAAGTTAGTGTGGCTGTTCTAAGACATCATGTATATTTATTTGACTTTGATTGAGTGTATTGTGCAAAGCATCTAATTGAGTTTTGTTACCAATAAATATAGCATGGCTTTGCATAATGTATGAGTCCCAAAATGCTGTCTGAATGATTGATTGACAAATTGATTATGTGCCTTCAAGTCAGTGTAGACTCTTAGCAATTGGTAGATAGTAGATAGATTTTTCTTCATGAAGATAAAATGTCTGAAGGGAAGGAAATATTTAAGCAAGGAACAGGAAATGAAGCAAGCAATCCTATTGGAAAAGAGGTTAGAACAAAGACTTTTTTTGACCAAGTTTCCTACTGAACCAGCAGATATAACAACATATTTTGGCCATTTTCAATAGGACTAGCTGATTTATTCACCCATAAACTGCAACAGTATCTCAAGACTTGACATACCTGGCACCTTACATGGACACAGAGGCATTTTTCTAGCCATGTCCACCAACCTCTTTCACCCGAGAACAGTTCACTGCTTAAATTTCATTACCCCAGACTTACCTTCAGTTTGTGTTCATGTTCTTTGTTGACCCGTGACAACAGCTGGGCTTTCCGTCTGTTGAGAGCATCAATAAGAGCATCACACTGGGCGACCAGGCAAGCTTCAAACTCCACACTGTTCTCCTGCAATCAAAATAAAATACTCATCAGTCAAAGCAACAGGAAGGTCTAAAAGCAGCTGACTTGTTGGATTTGCCATCACAAGAGACTGATTTCACTCTTTCCTGCAACAACGTCTTGAGATCTTCAGCCTCATCTGGATTTTTTTTTTAACCTCTGGGCTCTTTGTTCTCTTCAGACTGCTTCTAGGAGCCATTCCTGCTGGGTTCACATACGGTGTCAGGCTAAGTTAGATAGTTTCTGATTCAAGGTGTTGGATGAAACCAGACAGTAGATTGAATTCATGATGAATCTATGTGTTGTGTCTTCTTGCATTACACAGCAAGCTCAGTCTAGCTCAATCTACATGTAATTAATTGGTGCTAGACAGTCCTGAAGTAAGATGGCTGCTCTGATCATATTATAAGCAGCCATCTTTGTTGTGATGGAACCATTCTTCATGCATGCATGCACGTGTGTGTTGCTATACACACATATATGCAATCAGCATGGGCTGATGATATATGGAGTCAGTCTTATCTCTTTTCTATCTTTGCTTCATTCCTATAGATGTCTTGGTAGCTAGTGGTAAGGGGAGTTGGGGGAAGGAAAAAGAAATGCTTACAGCAAGTTATGTTCTTATCTCTTTCTCTCCACCTGCCTATCTTCAAAAATACATGGAAGAAGTCGGATAATAATGGACTTATTGAATTATTGACGTCTCAATAATGGAGTCAAACAACAGGCATTGGCTGGATTATAAATAACCCTACAAAAGACCCTGCTGACTTGGGAGAGACAATAGAACCCAGTCCCTGGCTCAGAAATGACCAACTTTTAAATGATATATTTAAATATATCATGCAAATGGAACCAGCCAGTGACTGCCAGAGACACATCCTCACGAAAACAGTTTCCATTATCTTTGCAGGCACTAATTAGTCTATGTATGTACACGCAACAGAACACTTCCATTTTTTTTTACTTTGAAAAGTAATTTCCAGATAAAAATCATTTTCAAGTAAAATATTAATATAAATAAACATTCACATAAGGTTTTAAAAGCATTTAAAGCTTGTTCGAAGCATGAGGCAAGGTAGGGAAGACTGATAAACTGATATTGAATCGCATATACGGTAGTTCTTGACTTATGACCACAATTGAGCCCAAAATTTCTGTTCTTATGTGAGATATTTGTTAAGTGACAAATGTCACTTAATTTGTTTGCCCCATTTTACGATCTTTTAACAGTTGTTAAGTGAATCACTGCAGTTGTTAAGTGTGAAAAACAGTCATAAGTCACTTTTTTCAGTGCAGTTGCAACTTTGAATGGTCACAAACCAAATAGTTATAGGTTGAGGACTACCTGAACATATTTCTCATTTCTATCTTACAGTGTTTTAAAAGCTGCTATTCCAAACAGAAGGTGTTTTTTCCCCCCATTTTATATTATTTACTTTAAAAATATTCTTTCCCAAAGCACCTTGCAGAATCAGTTGTGAGGTTACAAGTTGCCCAAAGAGTCTCTGTGAACGTTTGCAGAAGGAAAGTTTAGAATATCGGTCTCCTGAGTCCAAACACATATTCATATTCTCAGACTGAAACTTCATAGGATAAAATTCTAATTTGGGCAGAATTTGGTTCTTCTGAGCCTGCAGTAGTCCTATTATTCTAATTTGGCTCATATAGAAATTCTTCTGAAACCGGAGACATTCCTGGAAATTGAAAGCCCTGATTAAAACTTTTCGGTCTCTATCAAGCAATGATTACTCTCTTAGGGGAAAACCACAAGTCTCAGAAGGGATGAGTCGCATGGCGCATGGACGAAGGGAGGACAGGAGAAGCAGCTCATGGAGGAATGTGTCTCCACCGAACTGAATAAAGAAGCATGGGGGAGGCAGCCGCAAGGAAAGCGGGAATGATTTGGCCACAGAGTTGACGGGACTTGATGGATGAGACTCCTGCTCACTCAAAATGATGGAGGGAGGAGGCAGCACTCAAGAGAACCAACATCCCTAAAGAGCCAAGACAAATGATCTGTGCCACCGAAATTTAAATTGATTCTGACTGAAGGCCTGATTCCATCTGAGAGAATGCAAAGCATTGATGCAACAAGCTTATTTCTTTGGGGTTTATCAGGTTGGGTGGCAGAGAGGCAATGAGGGAATTTATACTGTGCTGGATCTTTCAAAGAGCACCCCTTTGTTCCTCCTTTCCAGCATTCTCCTCTCCCTGAACCCTTTGTTCTAGCAAGCAATTTCTTTATATATACTGCTCAAAAAAATAAAGGGAACACAAGCAGAAGACCTCCGAGATCTGAATGAATGAAATAGCCTTATTAAATACTTTGTTCTTTATATACAGTAGTTTATACACTGCTCAAACAACTAAAGGGAACACAAAACTACTATATGTAACGAACAAAGTATTTAATACATCTATTTCATTCATTCAGATCTCGGATGTCTTCTGCTTGTGTTCCCTTTATTTTTTTGAGCAGTGTATATATTATTTATAACACAACACAATATAACAAACAAAACACATAATATAAATTCCTTTTTTACAACTGTTTTGTAACGGTCATCTTCTTGTTCTAGCAAGCAATTTCTTCCCACTCTGGCACTCTCCATGTTGCCCACTGCCAGCCAGGGATGGGATTCAGCCAGTTCGGGCCGGTTAAGGTGAACCGGATGCTAATTTTAGATCTGGTTTGCCGAATCGGTAGTTGCAAGGACTGGCTGGCCTCTCCCACCCCACCCCTCCCAGGAGTCTCCATGCAGCCTGTTTTGGATGCCAGGTAAGTACAGCGCCCACGCGGAGGCTCTGGGAGGGTGAAAAATGGGCCTCCCTGAAGTTCTGGAAGTCCAGAAATGGGCCGGTTTTCGGCCTCCGGAGGACCTCCGGAGCCTGGGGAGACTGTTTTCACCCACCCAGAGGCTCAAGCAAAGCCTCTGGAGCTTGGGGAGGGCGAAAATGCCCCCCCCCACCCTGGTGCAGGAGACTGAGTAGGCCATGCCTACCATGGCCATGCCCATCCAGCAACCAGGCAGAGAACCGGCTGCTAAAATTTTTGAATCCCACCCCTGCTGCCAGCCCTATTATTCCCAACCAGCATCTGCTAACGGCAGGGATAGTCCAATACTTTGGAAGATGTCAAGTTGGAGAAGATTGCAAGTTATTATCCTAGCTTTAGGTCCATAACTAGAATTCCCTGAAGAAATAGGGAATGGGAAGGAGAATGTAGAAGGTGTCACGGGGAAGGGGGGGGTATCAGCGTTTTCAAAATTCTTGGCCCCACCAGCCAATCGAAGCCCCACAATTTTTACTATGTGTTAGATACATCCCACACATCTAAAAAGGGGTGATGATGGATGATTTCAATCCTCCAGTTGTACTTACCATTTGGGCATCATATCATTGGCCTCTTTGGGGATACACCTGGGAATCCCAAAGGTGCTTTTCCAAAAGACAACTGGATTTTCTTGTTGTTTTTTCCTTGAAAGCATTTCGCTTCTCATCCAAGAAGCTTCTCCAGTTCTGACTCAGAAGCTTCTTGGATGAAAAGCGAAACGTTTTCAAGGATAAAATAAGAACGTCCAGTTGCCTTTTGGAAAAGGATCTATGAACTGGATGATTGAGAATCTCCGTAGAAAATAAACTTGGAAAAACATACAAGTAGTCCTCAACGTGGCCTACTCACCAGGGTCCTCACCAGGGCCTGGTGGCTCAGCAGACTGATAGCATTGTGATTAACACCAGCTGTCTGCAATTACTGTAAGTTCGAATCTCTCCAAGGCTCAAGGTTGACTCAGCCTTCCATCCTTTCTAAGGTAGGTGAAATGAGGACCCAGTTTGTGGGGGCAATAAGCTGACTTTGTATATATGTACAAAAGTATGAAGGCTATTGCTTAACGCATTGTAAGCCGCCCTGAGTCTCCGGAGAAGGGCGGCATATAAATCAAATTTAAAAAACAAAAACAAAAACGTACAACCATTCATTCAGTGACCATTTGAAATTACAACTGCACTGAGAAAAATGACTTACAACTGATCCTCACACTTACAACTGTTGCAGCAGCCCTAACCTAATCAAATTATTATAAGAAGAAACTTTCCAGCAACAAAGAAAACATTCCTCTGCTACCTCTTACAAATCAGCATGGTAAAATCACAGCACATTGGCATTTTCTTGTGGCTAGACATGTTTTCCAATACCTTCATCCTGGTCATTTGCTGCTATGGCAGCCAGAGTGGGCGGAAGCTGGGAGAGAGGCTATGTTTAGAATGTTTTTCCAATGGGCACTAAGAAGATTTGCTAAAGGAATAGGGCACAGGGAAGGAGATAATGGTTGCCAACAGGGCAGGATCCCAAAGGAAATGGTCCACTTATCCTCTGGGTTTAGCAAATGGAAATTGTCACTTTTAGTGTGATTTCTGATACAGTGCAGATAAGCTAGGAGGGGGAAAAAGATCAGCTGCCAAATACAGATGTTATTATCAGATTGTAGAGACATAGAAGAATAGAATAGAACAGAACAGAACAGAACAGAACAGAACAGAACAGAACAGAACAGAATAGAATAGAATAGAATTCTTTATTGGCCAAATGTGATTGGACACACAAGGAATTTGTCTTTGGTGCATATGCTCTCAGTGTACATAAAAAGACAAGATACATTCATCAAAAATCATAAGGTACAACACTTAATGATAGACATAGGGTATAAATAAGCAATCAAATCATACTAGGAAACAATCAATATCAATATAAATTGTAAGGATACAAGCAACAAAGTACTTTTGGAGGGTGTGAATTAAGTATACTGAGCAGGGGTGGGTTCTACTTACCTTTACTACCAGTACGCAATGGGGCCGTGTGCATGCGCAGAAGTATTTTGATGACGTCGGGGTCGGTGGGCGGAGCCTCCCACTGGTTTTACTACCGGTTCTATAGAACTGGTGCGAACCGGGGGCAACCCACCACTGATACTGAGCTTATATCGGTGATTTCAATGTGTTAAATATGACTCTATTTTATAGACGGTAGTCAGCTACTCCAATAAAGCAGTTTTTCTCAACCTGGGCATGCTGGCTGGGGAATTCTGAGAATTGAAGTCCACATATCTTAAAACTGCAGAGGTTGAGTAACACTGCAGTAGAATATTATTCCAAGGAGTGAAAATTGACTTCGGAGCCTGACAAATATGTTCCTTAAAATTCCCAGCCACTTTAAGATGTGTGAACTTCAACACTGAGCCATGGTGGTGCAGTGGTTAGAATGCAATACAGCAGGCTAATTCTGCCAACTTCCAGGAGTTCGATTATGACCAGCTCAAGGTTGACTCAGCCTTCCATCCTTCCGAGGTTGGTAAAATGAGGACCCAGATTGTTGGGGGCAATATGGTGACTCGGTAAACTGCTTAGAGAGGGCTGTAAAGCACTGTGAAACGGTATATAAGTCTAAGTGCTATTTGCTATTGCTAACTCCCAGAATACAGCAGTCAGTAATGCTAGTTAGGTATTCTGGGAGTTGAAGTTCACACATCCTAAAGTTATTGAGGTTGGGAAACACTACTCCAAGGGGAAAACACATCCATGGACAAACACATACAATCAATAAAATGATGATTTGTTAATACAGTAGTAACATCACCATCACCCTTATTCTCATTATTACTAATATTATGGAATAGACAATTTAATACAAAAGACCTTGATCTTTATTATTGACTAAGAGTCAGTGAAAACTGCTCAAGTTTGCATCCCATATTATGCCATATTTGTCTTATCCTGTAATCCAAATTTAGACCGGGGTCAATCAAGATGATTACAATAGAATTCCTTGATCCCAGTCTATAATTACAGCCTGGCTGTTATTAGCTTATTTTATCCACAGTCTAGTGTATCACCCAAAATAGAGATTTCACCAAGTGTAGGCTTTAGTCTCCATAGTCTGAATTTAGAACAAAGTCTGTACTGCAAGATACTTTCCACTTCTCCATCTTTCTTTAGACTCTCCACCCTGGTTGCATGGGAAATAAAGCTATTTTTATTTGTGCAATTTGCCCATCAAGGAGACAGAGAGGTGGATAAAATCAGCCCTTTCCCACTCTAAATGCAATGAGTCATCTCTCAAATACACCCCCAACCCATTCTTTGGTGTTTTGTTAAAGAATTGGTCATCACAAAGGTGATTGGGTTATTGCTGAAAAAGAGGAGGCCTGGCAATCTGTTGTCGATGGTGGTTTGCTATGCAATGGTGGTTTGATTGTGTGTGTTCCAAGCTCAGGGAATTGAATGCCACATAGTGGCTCTGCTCTCATTCTACTTCTGTTCATGATTATGATGAACAGAATTTTGTGGGGCTGCCACAAAGAAGAGGGAGTCAGGATATTCTCCAAAGCACCTGAGGGCAGGACAAGAAGCAATGGGTGGAAACTAATCAAGGAGAGAAGCAACCTAGAACCAAAGAGAAATTTCCTGACAGAACAATTAACCAGTGGAACAACTTGCCTCCAGAGCAGAGGTGGGTTTCAGCAGGTTCTGACTAGTTCTGGAGAACTGGTAGCGGAATTTTTGAGTAGTTCAGAGAACCGGTAGTAAAAATTCTGACTGGCCCCGCCCTCATCTATTCCCTGCCTCCCAAGTCCCAACTGATTGGGAGGAAATGGGGATTTGGCAATAACCTTCCCCTGGACTGGGGAGGGAATGGAGATTTTACAGTATCCTTCCCCTGCCAAGCCCACCAAGCCACGCCCACAAGTAGTAAAAAAATTTGAAACCCACCACTGCTCCAGAGGTTCTGAATGCTCCAACCCTGGAAGTTTTTAAGAAAAGATTGAATAACCATTTGTCTGAAGTGGTGTATGGTTTCCTGCCTAAGCAGGGAGTTGGACTAGAAGACCTCCAAGGTCCCTTCCAACTCTGTTATTCTATATCTATTTCTATTAGAGTCAACACAGTACCTGGATTTGTTGAACCATGTTTCGTAACTGTACCAAGAATTCTTTGGCTTCTTTGGCTCTGTCTGAAAGTCCATTCAGGGCCTGGGACAGCTGGCTCTGCAGGAAACAGGGAAGGAAGAGGAAATGGGAATCAAAAGGACATTTATTTCCATATACGTTTCCTAGATATACTGATTTATATCCCAGCAGATGATCAGAATTCCTTCTTTTCCATCTCAGTCCCAAACGTGTTAGCGAACCAAGGCATCAGTTGAAGCCCAGAGCAGGAAATTAATCAGAATTGATTTCCACCAAACTGTTAAACGATTTAGTTTATTATATTCCATTGCACTCCTTCCATAAAAATGGTCGCAATCCAGTTGGAAATGTTATTCTTATTCTATTCAGACTAGCAAGATGGAAAGCCAAAAACAAATTGAGTGATCCCATGACTACAAAGAGGAAAAGAAAGTGCAGGAAGCATAAAGTAATTCTGCATGCACTCAGTCCAAAGTACCAACGCTGGAGGGAATTAATAAATTGTAATTCAGTCCATTGAAGTAAATGAAGACAGGATGAAAATCTAATAAATACACAAGACAAAACAAAACAAAGCAGAATTTGGGGCTGTCTTCCTTAAATATGATGTTATAGTTGAGCAAATCAGCTCAAAGGCAATATTGTACTATATTGGGATCTAATAGCCTGCTTCAATTGAAGGTATCAGATTGGGAAAGGTGTAAATGCTTATAGATACATTAATTTTTAAAAACTTTTTCAAGATTCCTGGTTGTTTTTATGTCAATAAATCTATATATTATCCCATCCCCAACTCTTGTCACAGAAGAGATAAATCTCCAGGTAGGATCATTCTAATAAGATCATTCTTATTGATTGCTACAACTAGTACTTATAATACGTTACCACAGTATTTTTTTAAAAATAATTCTTGTGAATTTTGTAATTATGGCCTTTTTAAAAAAACATGTTTTGAACGATCTCGCTCTCTTAACAACTATGTTATAAGTATGCCTGCAAACATTGTCTCCTCCTGACCTATGTTGCTCATACTCTGTATTTTGAAATATACAGTTAGTATATCCTACAAACTGAACTGAAGAAGGTCATCAGTGCTTCCTTGTAGGGCTGGCTATAAAGTTAAATGGGTGATAGAAGGTGGAAATTGGTGGTGGTAGCCAGGGGTGAAATCTACTTACCTTCCCTACTGGTTTGGAAATGTGCACTCCGTGTGTGCATGTCACATGCAAATCTGGACCGTCTGTGCATGCGCAAAGCCTTCTGAGCATGTGCAGAGAGTCAAAAAAAGGTTACTTCCTGGTTTTAATGACATTAAACAATGTCCGGGCAGGTGGGCGGAGCATCATGTTGCCATCGCGAACCGGTAGCATTTCACCACTGGTGGAACCACTGCATTTATGTTCCTCATAAATGCATAAATAGTTGTATTTGCTCTACTTCATGTCTTGGGTCTCTAAATTATACTGTTGTCTACTCTAAGGCCTGGGTCTTTCAGGGTGATACCCAGGGCAGTGGTGGGTTCCTCCTGGTTCAGCCCGGTTCAGCCGAGCTGGTAGCGGTGACGATATGACGTCACCGAACCAGTTCTCTTTGTTCAGGAGCTGGGCCCTCCCGTCGGCCCCCATGTTATTCTTACCTTTTATTTGGCCCCACCCCCAATCTATTCGCTGCCTCCTGAATCCCAGCTGATCGGCTAGAAGGAAAAAAACTGTTTAAACTCTTGCCAAAGGGCTTCAAAGTGCCGCCCTACAGCTGATCAGTGGTAAAAGGTAGTGTGGTGGTAGACCAATGCGCTCGAAAAACAAATGGGTAGACCGGTGTCTCCAAAAACAAAAGTGGTAGACCGGAACGCTCCAAGAACAAATGGGTAGACCGGTACAGCTCTGTAAGCAGTTAGACGTAACTGTTAGACGTAGCAGTTAGGGTAAGCCTGGTAGACCAGTATCTCTGCTAAATCCTAAAGAATTGTCACATGACCATCAAACCATGCCCACAAAATAAGCCACGCCCACAGAACCGGTAGTAAAAAATTTTAGAACCCATCCCTGGCCCAGGGGTACCAAATGTCAGATGTCATCTCCCTTAGCATGTGATGGGCTTCTTGCTCTCCTTGGTGCCTGCTTGATGCAGAATTCAAGTCAATCTTGACTCCTTGACTTGCTGAATGCCTGGACTAGTCCCTGAATTTTCTTGGCAAGGTTTTTTTGGAAGTGGTTTGCCATCATCTCCTCCCTAGGTTTCAGAGAAAGTGACTGTCCCAAGGTCCTCCAGCTGGCATTGTGCCCAAAGCAGCACTACAGTTGGGTTTTTAACCTGGTGCCTTCACCACTGTACAAAACTATAGTAGCTCTCTATTATATTAGGGTTCTTTTAATTACAAAATAAATTGTAATTGTTTAGAATATTAATTGAATAAAAGATTTGAAAAGGACCGTGGAGATCTTCCACTCCAACTTCTTGCCCAGTGCAAGAATCCACTCCTAGAACATTGAGGTAGGAGAAGAGCAAGCAGAGTTGGAGGGTGGAGTTAAACACATCATTAGTTTGGAGTCCTTGGATTGTCATAAAAGATCTAAATCCAACTCCCCTTGAATCTCATTAACCTTATCTAGCACCAATTTAGTGTTGACTAGATTCTTGTATATAGACTTGAGTAATAAATCTTTCTGAACTGCAACTTAACCTATGTGCTGATCCTTTTTGCCTGGCAATAGCAATAGCACTTAGACTTATATACCACTTCACAGCCCTCTCTGAGTGGTTTACAAAGTCAGCATATTGCCCCCAACAATCTGGGTCTTCATTTTACCAACCTCGGAAGGATGGAAAGTTGAGTCAACCTTGAGCCAGTCAGAATCAAACTGCTGAACTGCTGGCAATCGACAGTCAGCAGAATTAGCCTGCAATACTGCATTCTAACCACTGTGCCACCACAGCTCTTATATACAATCCCCAATAAATGGCCATTCAGTCTCTGGTGAATATCTCTGGTGAAGGTAAGTCCACCTCCTCTTGAGATAGCTGTTTTGTTAGTGCATAGCTCTTACTGTTGGAATTTTTTCCTGATGTCCAAGCAAAAACACTTCCTTGTTCTGTTTTCTGGAACAACAAATAAATATGTTGGCTCCACCTTCTGCAACACAGCTTTTTGTTATGTCAGCACAGCTATCATGTCTCCCTACAGTCTTGTCTTCTCCAGGCTAAACATACCCAGCTCATCCAACTGTTCCTCAAACGTTTCTCATAATTTTTTCATAATGATCAAGCTGCAAAGCAAAGGCTTAACCGCAAATGTAATATGTATTTCCAGTAATGCCTCTAAGTTTCAATAAAACCTAGAGGTGTGTTTACAAAACTAAAATGATGAGTGGCTTCAGCACAGTGTTTTCTTTGGAACAAAATACATACCGTATTTTTCAGAGTATAAGATACACCTTCCCCCCCCCCAAAGAGGGTGAAAATCTCGGTGCGTCTTATACTCCGAATGCAGCCCCGCCCAGTTTCTCAAATGGAGGTTTCAGAGGCTAAAAAAAGCATCAGAAAAGAAGCTTCAGAAATGAACCCCCCAAACAGAGTTTCAGAAAAAAAAAGCCCCCAAATAGAGCTTCAGGAAAAAAGCCCCCAAAAAGAGCTTCAGAAAAGAAGCCCCCAAACAGAGCCTCAGAGGCTTTTTTTCTGAAGCTCTGTTTCGGAGGCTTTCAGAGCAGGGGTGGGTTCTAAAATTTTTTACTACTGGTTCTGTGGGCATGGCTTGGTGGGGGGTAATGTGACTGGGTGGGTGTGGCCAACTTTTTTTTTCCTTTTAAAAGCATTTTTTCTACAACCTTAAGAGGTTGCAGAAAAAAAGAAGCCTCTGACGATCGGCTGAAGAGGTTGTAGAAAAAATGTTTTTAAAAACCTCTGACGATCCCAGCTGAGCCGCGCGATCATCAGAGGCTTTTTTTTTTACTTTTAAAAGCATTTTTTCAGCTAAAGAGGTTGTAGAAAAAAAACTTAAAAAAATAAAAAAAAAAGCCTCTGATGAGGTGGGCGGGGTAAGCGAGCGGCGACCTGGCCGGGGACCGGTTCGGGGTCATGGCCAGCCAATGTTATTACCGGTTCTCTGAACTACTACAAATTTTTACTACCGGTTCTTGTGAACCGGTGCGAACCAGGAGCAACCTACCACTGTTTCAGAGGCAGGAAAAAAAGTTTTTTCTGAAACAAAGTTTCAGAGGCAGGAAAAAAAGCAAAAAAAAAAAAAAAAGCACAGAGCTCACAACCAAGGAACCTCTGGGAACAGCTGATTGGGGGTATTCCAGGAGGCTGATCCACCTGCCAATCAGCTTTTTTCTTATTTTCCTCCCCAAAAACTAAGATGCGTCTTATACTCCGAAAAATACGGTAAATAGATTACTGGAAGGCTAGGAATGTTAGTGCAGTGCATTTTGCACTTTAAAAAAAGAGGCAATTTGATCTGGTGATGAAGGCACTAGGTTAGAAATTGGGAACTGTGAGTTCTAGTCCTGCTTTAGGTATGAAAGATGTGTGGGAGACTCTCTCCCAGGGGCCAGTCATTCTCTCTCAATCCATCTCACCTCACAGGATTGTTGCTGTGGGTAAAATAGGAGGAGGAAGGAGTATTAGGTATGTTCTCAACCTTGAGTTATTTATAAAAACAATAAAGGCAGGATTAAAAAAAAAACTTTTCAAAAGATTACCAGTTTGCCTACTGTTGGTTGTTTTACGTAGACTCCTCCACACAATGTTAACCATTAAAAGGCCACATGCAGTGGAAATGTCATGCCTCAAAGCTATTACGGCATATCTAACTTGACATTTAACCCACATTCAGGCAGGCAGACCCAACACAGCTAGATTAACTACTTCACTGCAGGCAACAAAGAACACACTCAGGAGCTGCCTCAGAAATCATAGTCTGTGTTTATTTCTCTCCCCCAGGGTTTAAATTCTAGGTCTTTTCGTTCCACCTTTCAAATCAATAATAAGAGGTTGTGGGATGAGAAGATTGAGATAGTAATGGAAGGAACTGTAGATTTACATAAGCAAGGGACAGAAGGGATGTGTGTTGGTAGCTT